GCTTCCATTTCGCCAGGCCAACCGCTAATTTGTTAACAACCAGGACGAGTTACAGAACGAGTGTTTGATTTAATCCAATTATTCCTATCAAGTCAGTTATGTGTCATGCGTGACACACGATTAGGCGATCATGTATCTTTCGATACATGACTAATGTGGCAGTTATTTTTCCCGCAGTAGGTTGCCATTTCTCTTCTGTAATTAGCGTTTTTAAGATCTCTGGGGAACCTTCTCACCGCACAAATTATCGCTCTATTAGACTCTTACCGCTTTTCGGCAAGGTATTCGGGGCTCTAATCAATGCTGAAGTAGTTAGTCATCTTACTTCTCACGACATCTTCTCAGAAAAATAATAGCGCTTCCGTTTTGCTCTGTCTACCGCCGATGTGCTAACGTCCATAACTGAATATTTATATCAAGCTCTTGATAATGACGGCGAAGCTCGAGCTGTGGCTCTAGGTATCTTGAAAGCATTTTGCAGGGTTTGGCACGCTGATCTTTTACGGGCTACGGTATTACAGGACGACTATTTCATTTAATTCAATCGTTCCTACCAAATCGTGAAATGAAGATCTTTTCAACCAGTCCCACTTCCATATCCTTTCACACGAACACAGGTATGCCACAAGGCTCTAACCTTGGACCCACGCTGTTTCTGATCTTCATAAATGATCTTCTTGGTGCCATCAGTTCCCAAGTAGGTATTTGTACACTACCATTTACTTTTGTCTCAATAGCATATCCGGCAGAACTAATAAAGTAATTCTGGCTTCTGCTCTTGAAAAGGACATCCAATTATTGGCTAACTGGGGTAGAAAATGCCTTGTAAATTTTAACACCTCTAAAACAAAACTACTCTCATTCATTTAAGCACCATGGAAAACTTTTCTGCCTGCCCTCAGAATGGCTGGCGCTCGACTCCTGGAGAGCAACGCCCTGCACCTTCTTGGCCCCACATTTTCAGCTACATCGAATCATTAGCTGCATCGACTTCAATGAAATATGGTCACTGTGTCGTGCCAAATGTTTTGTGTGTGTGTGTGTGCGTGTGAGTCCATCATGCAAATTAAAAATCTACTATTTGCCTGTGTATTGGACATTGCTGCCATATCTGGTCGGGTACTCCTGCTATTTATTTCGAAGTTCCTAACAAAATCCAAAGAAGGATCTGTAATGTAATCGATCCTGATTTGCCATATCGACTGCAGTCACTTTCTCACCGACGTGATGTGGCTTCCCTCTGTCTTTTCTATAAACACTTTCATGGCAACTGCTCTGACGAGCTTTTCCTCTCTGATGCAATTCCCTTGCAGGAATTTAAGAGCGTCACTAGATTAGCATCTAGGTCCCAAACAAAAGCAAACGCCAGTAGTTTTTTTCTCGTCCTTCCTGCAACTTCAGTCGCCATCTTCTGTCTTCGTGAATCCCTTTCACCTTTTGTCCTTTCCTCAATCCTCCCCATAATCTGTCTTATCTTTAACTTTCTCTCTCTCAAACCCTCTCCATACAATAACCTTGCATGGTGTGAAATGATTAAAAAGTATATTCAATGATATATGTATATATTTTTGAGGCATTGTAACTAGCTACACGATTTCATCTTTATATTCGCGACGTTTCGGCCCTTGTACGGTCCGGCTTTCTTCAGGTGATACACGTAGGAATTTCGAACCGAACCCCTTATTTAGTCCACTGGAGTAGATTGTTCTAGTTCCTCGTGCCATGCCTTTTCTGGTTATCTCAGTTTCAGTAATTCAACTCTCCAAATTTTTGTTTTGGTATTGAACTCACAATTCTTTGTGCCAAGTCACTGAATTACTTCAACCATCGCTTTTATCTATTTGGATATATGTCCTTGGGGAACTCAATGAATTTTTGTGTCTTATAGACCAGTAACCATTTTTTACAAGAGGTTATATTTTTCAGTCCGAAGAATGTAAATAGACTGAATATATCCATAAGCATCTAATAGGATTAATAATATCCCATCATCATTACGATTAAGAATAATACTATCATCATCATCATCATCATCATCATCACTAAGAAGAGTATTGATCCTATCATCATCAAAATGAGTAACCTCACGAATCACCCTCATTATCATCATCCTCAAGATGAAGAAGAACAATCCCCCATCATCATCGTTGTCATGAATAGTAATAATAATAATCCCATCCTCATCAAAATTAATAATTAATAATCATCCTTGTCATTAAGAAGACTGATGATGATGATGATGATGATCATGATCATCATCATCATGAAGAATAATCATACCGTCTTAATAAAGAAAAAGAATAATCATACTAAAAATAGTGCCTATGACACACAGTGGATTTGTGCACTTGTCCAAAAATGCGGCACCCATATTTAAGTTAAATTGGCCATGAAAATAAAAGTCGAGCTCTTTATTTTATATAGCAATTACAATTGAACTTTCCGGATTTTATTTTGGCGAATCGGTCACGGTGACCCAAATTATCATCGTTTCCTATATCATTATGTCCAGTGTGAAGTTTACAAGAAGTAAGTTAAATGCACATTTAACGGTCGGGCGTAATAAAGTTAGCTATAATTTCAATATGGAAAGCCTTGAAAGAATCATTTGATAGACAACATTCTACCTTCCATCAGTCAGGAGAGTAACTCATTGCGCCTTCTGGCGCTAACATGAAGGGAAAAGATTATATTGAATCAATTTCTAGGCCGGCTGCTAGAAAAAATTAGTTGACTATATCACGCTAGACATTTTTTCTCTCCAGAATCTACCTCAATTATTTATAAGTCTCCCATTCTTCAATATATTCAATATGGCTGTCACGTCTGGTTTGGGGCTCCTGCTATATATTCAGAGATTCTTGATAAAATCCAAAGAAGAATCTGCAATGTTATTGGTCCTGATCTAGCATCTCGGCTTCAGTCATTTTCCAACTATCATAACATAGCTTCCTTGTGTCTTTTCTATAAATATTTTCATGGTAATTTTTCTGATGAACTTTCCCCTATGTTACGTAGACTTTATGAATTTAAGCGTAGTACTAGACTGATGGCATGACCTCATCAATTTACAAATGTAATGGGTAGATGTAGCCGTAAGTTCTATCCTAGCAGTGTCTTCTATCGCACTTTTCGCTTGTGTTACTCTCTTCCGGCTTCTAGCTTCCTATTCACCTTTGATCTTCAAAAATTTTAATGTAATGTCGTTATCTTTCGTCTTCTTAACTTTTGGATGTTTTATTATTTTCTCTTCTTAATATTATTTTTTTCTTTTTTCTCATACCCTATAACACCCAGTAGTACCTTGCCTCTTAGTGGCTTTATTGCCTTGCTTGGGGCGAAATGATTAAAAATAAGTAAAATTAGATATATATAGATTAAAACTACATAACCCAAAAAAGTCGAAAGGCATTTTATAAATAATTTTTTTTATTATTTAGAAGTAAAATTATTATTTAGAGCTAAAATTTGTAAGAAGAGGAGAAAACTAAAATTTAGACAAAATCCTATACTGAATCTCATATGAACAAACTGAGATAGATAGATAGATAGATAGATAGATAGATAGATAGATAGATAGATAGATAACATTCTGAGATAGATAGATAGATAGATAGATAAATAGATAGATAGATAACATTCTGAGATAGATGAGATAGATAGATAGATAGATAGATAGATAGATAACATTCTGAGATAGATAGATAGATAGATAGATAGATAGATAGATAGATAGATAGATAACATTCTGAGATAGATAGATAGATAGATAGATAGATAGATAGATAGATAGATAGATAGATAGATAGATAGATAGATAACATTCTGAGATAGATAGATAGATAGATAGATAGATAACATTCTGAGATAGATAGATAGATAGATAGATAGATAGATAGATAGATAACATTCTGAGATAGATAGATAGAGATAGATAGATAGATAGATAGATAGATAGATAGATAGATAGATAGAGATAGATAAGATAACATTCTGAGATAGATGAGATAGATAGATAGATAGATAGATAGATAGATAGATAGATAGATAGATAGATAGATAGATAGATAGATAGATATGAACAGCCTTAGAGAGACAGGTCGAACGAAACAGACTGAGATAGAGATATTAACAGACTGATGTAGATAGATATATAACATTCTGAAATATTGGGTTGGTGCAAAAATAATTTCGTTTTCTAACATATGTTATTATGTGAGAAAACGAAATTATTTTTGCACCAACCTAATAGATAGATAGATAAACATTCTGAAATAGATAGATAGATTGATAGATAGATAGATAGATATATATATATATATATATATATATATATATATATATATATATATATTGATAAACCTGAGAACGTTGGTAACCGGGGTGAATGTGAGACATATTAGATTATCCGCTTCGTGTCTGTTTTTCTGAGAAATACTGAATGTCCTTCTCCTGTAAGTGATTTTGAAATCTAACTGAAAAAAATAGAATTTTGACAGTTGTTTGATAATGTAAAGTATATAGCAATTACAACTGACCTTCCCGGATATTATTTTTGCAAATTGGTCACGGTGACCGAAATTAGTATTGTTTCCTATATCATTATGTCTACTGTGAATAAAAAGTACTGCATAAATGCTCGCCATACCTTCTCTGGTCAGACGTGAAAAACCCCATTAACAGCAGCCACCCTTTCTAGCATTATGGTCATGCGTAAAAAATGGAGCTTACATAGGTTCAATTTCGGTCTGAAATCTAACTCTTATTACTCTGATTTAAAACAAGGTCACAACGGTCTGCCTTGACCCATATAGCTTTTACCTTGTAATTTATACGACTAATTTCCCATCCTCGTGTTCAGCATGGTAGTCTAAGAGACAGTATCTATCTGAAATTTGTCTTTCACCCTTATCATTTTCTTTTGTAAGAATATTTTATATAAAAAAAAAAATGAAGCTAAAATTTAATCATGAATTAATGTTATTCTCTTGAATTTATTATAAAGTTTGAATGTTTATATTCAGATTTTGACATTAGATAACCATGGTGGTGTTGATATGCCACTAAACGAAAACAAACAAGCAAATTTAACAAAAATTTAATAACGAACACTCCATCACTAATGTAAAGAACAATAACAGTAATTGAACTAAAGAAATCTATTTCCCAACCAATTACCAACACGTTGAAATACTGATTCCTTTACGATCATCGAAGTTAAGCAATGTCGAGTCTGGTCAATGCGTATATGGGTGACTACTTGGGAATACCAGGTGCTGTAAGCTTAGATGTGCGGGTGGATAATGACTAGAAATTGTTAATCAGAAAGCCGAATTTCAATTATAGTTCGGTTCGTTATATTAATTTACGCACAAATATCCTTGTTGGAAATTGTGAATCCACGTGTTCTCCTCCAACAATGGGTTAATTAGTAAAATTTGTATCTAAAAAAATCATTACTATCAAAAAACAAAATTCTTACAATCTAAAAAAATATGTTCTGGCTTTAAATAAGCCGTAGAAAACGAATCAATCAATGAATTTATTTGCTTACTCTTAACGGGGAGTCATTTCTTCTTGCTTTCATTTACAAACTTGTCAAATAGTTAATTCAATAGTAATGGTGATTTAATTTAGATATTTTTTTCTTATAATTTAGGTTTCTATGACTTTTTTAAATATAACACTTTGTGATAATAGAGGATCTATCAAAAATTGTGAAATATTGTAAGAATCTGGAGGCAAATTAATTTATGTTTCAATCAATTTAGGTTTCCTAGAAAAACATGTTTAGGTTTATAAAAGTTAATATTAATATAAAACATGGTAAACGTTAATATAAAACATGTTTAGGTTTAAAAAACTAACTATTTTCTATAATTATTTGTAATTATATTTATAATTTATATATATATATATATATATATATATATATATATATATATATATATATATAGAGAGAGAGAGAGAGAGAGAGATATCCATATATATATATAAATATATATATATAATTACATTTGTATATATATTTGTAATTATATGTAATTATTATATAAGTAATTAATTTAAAATATGTTATGTTTAATAAGAAGTTAATATTAATATAAAATATGTTATGTTTAATAAGAAGTTAATATTAATATAAAACATGTTAAAACTTAATATAAAACATGTTTAGTTTTAATAAAATTATTTTCTGTAATTATTTGTAATTATTTTAGTAATTACTTGTAATTATATATATATATATATATATATATATATATATATATATATATATATCTTAAAATTTAATATTAATATAAAACTGTGAAAATAGGTTTAGGTTTTAGGTATTTAGGTTTCTATCAATTGTGATAATAGAGGATCTGCCAAAAAAACGTAAAATATTGTAAGAAACTGGACGCAAAATGGACTGAGGATGATCTAGCGATTAAAGCACTTTCTATATATTTTGCTTTTTAGTAAATTGTTTTTCACTCTCTCTTTCTCTCTTTTTCTCTCACACACATGTACACCCCATATAAATATGCGTGTCTGTGTGTGAGAGACCGTGTGATATATATATTCCCTGACGATCCGCTAAGTTGAAACCTGGGTAGATTTGTCTGGTTCACTAGGTTTATCTAGGTCTGCTCTACGGTTGTATTGAGTTCTTTTGTTAGTTAGTTGTTTACTCGTGTCGGGGTTTTTTTCTTTGGGCTTCAAACCTGTATCTGTCCGTTTTTTATCGACAGACTTTCATGTTTCTAGCTCTTTGTCTTTTTTTTAAAAAACCTTTTTTCCCTCGAGATTGATTTGATTATTGGCAATTAAAAATTCGAAGGTTTTTCGAAACGAGTATAGTTACCTATTTTTGTATTTATATATTGTTGTGTATGATACACCTAATTTACATAAGCGGACTACCGACCATATAAATATGGGTTGGTACCGGAAGACGGGGAAGATAGTAGAGATTAAGAAATTGAATCCAGAGACTCTGCCCGACTGCGATTTAGTCAACCCATTATGCAGGAACAGTCTTCCCAAGAATATACCAAACTAACTGTAAATATTGTGTACCTATTCTTTGTTTCAATACATTTTGTTAACGTACATTTTGTGTTGTATTATTCCATGCTTATTTAAGCTTCAACATATATATATATATATATATATATATATATATATATATATATACACTCGACTCTCCCGTCGAATTCGACGTATGAGGGTCAAGCAGATCAGTTCCTAGGAAACCGACAGCCCGACAACAGCACAAAAGATTTGAGTATAGTAGTGAAGGTTTCGTCCATGACCATCCACATTTTTTGAAGAGCCGAATACATAAACCTGGTGCTCTACGTGCCACAAGATCCCCAAACGACCCTCCGCAGGTTTTGTATTCAGAGATGTCCTTCTCCTAGACCACTTGCCATCCAAGGCAATTATATATATAGAATATATATATATATATATATATATATATATATATATATATATATATATATGTGTGTGTGTGTGTGTGTGTGTGTGTGTGTGTGTGTGTGTGTGTAATTTAAAGGGTAATTTAAGTACACGTAGTCTGGTTAAAAAGTATCGGGACTGGATCTGTAAAAAGAAAAATACAACACAAATCAATTCGTTATTTAATTTTCTTTGTAGTAGTCCCCTTTCACACGTTTTATCTAACTTGGTTTCCATTCACTGAAGCATTCCTTGAACTTCTTTTATGGGATAGGGAGCATCTGTTTCTCTATATTCTCATCGATATCCTCGACGTCTTGAGATCTTGTTCTTTCAAGTGGGACTTAATTTTTGGAAAGTGGAAAAAGCTGCAAGGTGCAAGATCTGATGAGATATGATGGTTGTCGGACCTGGGGAATATTGTGCTTGACCATAAATTGGTGCACTAGCTGTGGCCATTGATAAAACCTCTGTCGTGTGATGTGACTACCACCCTCAACACAATTTCCTTCTAAGCGCTTCTATAAACAACGGAAGTGAGCGAGAAAGTTATAATTTAGTATGTATGCGCAACAGAGATCAAAGTCACTCTGTGCCAAGCGGCTTCACTCTGCCTACAAAAGTACCATTATTATAACAAATGTCCTGATATTTTATCAGACCTCATATATATATATATATATATATATATATATATATATATATATATATATATATATATATATATATATTAAAGAAAAACAGACCACTTTAAGGTACCATTATAATAATTTATTTCACCAGAAATATATATAATTTTTATTTAAAAATATTTCTATAACATTATTAACATTTTTACTCAATCCCTGCATACGGACATAAGAAACACTTAGGATGGTATACATTTTTGTCGATATATAAACCCATCTTTCAACTAACTTCTGCTCTGTGTTTAAACAAACATACAAACACTTTTTTAAAAAGACCTACAGTATTAAGTAAACGTGGAATATATTTGCTGTGTTCATTTTTCCCACCAGCGGGTGTTTTCTATTTTTTTTTTCTAAATTCTTGACACGTTTGTAATAGCTTCGTGTATATCTCATCAAATTTATGAAGTCATCTCATTAAATGACATTCTTAAAGAATAACATCCTAAAATAAAACATTTCGGATAAAGAGAAAATTGTTGAAATGGGAAGACAAAAAGTAAAATGGCGGTACGATTACGAGGTGCCAGAAGAGATAGGAATAAATGTGTGGATTTGAATGCCGACAGACATGTGAAAATTTGAAATTTCTATTCATGTTTTGTTTGTGTAGAATATATTAAACTTTGTTTTCTTGGCACAATTGACGATTTGTTAGTAGGTATATCAGGATGGAACGATTTTAGTTAGCATTGATGATGATGATGATGATTCTTGATGATGATGATGATGATGATGAGGAGGAGGAGGAGGAGGAGGAGGAAGATTCTTGATAATGATGATTCTAGATGATGATGACGGAATGATTATTCTTTTTCTTTATTAAGACGGTATCAGTATTCTTCTTGATGATGATCATCATCATCATCAGTCTTAACGAAAATGATGATGATAGCATTATTATTCATTATTATTATTACTATTCATGACAACGATGATGATGGGGGATTGTTCTCCATCTTGAGGATGACGATAATAATGATGATTCGCGATGGTTATTCATTTTCATGATGATGGGATCATTACACTTCTTAGTGATGATGATGAGGAGGAGGATGAGGAGGATGATTGTATTATTCTTAATCTTAATGTTGATGGGATATCATTACTATTGCTGATCATGATGGTGAGGGGATCCCTCATCCTGATGATGATGAAGAGGAGGACGGTATAGTTATTCTTTGATTTTATTACGATGGGATGATTATTCTTCTTGATAATGATGACGATGGGATTATTTTTTATCTTGGTGAAGAGAGG